AAATAATAAATATAGCTGCAAGCAGCCATTACCGGGGCCAAGCGCAAAGAAGCGGCAACATATGCAAAATGGCAAGGAGTGGCAGACCAACTGCAGCAAGGAGCAATTAAGGGCATTTGAGAGAACTTTGGGCAAATGGCTAAGAAAATCACATAAACATTAACTTATAAGATGATTTAATGGGTTATCACTTTCGAACAATAGGTGGCGCAGTTACGAAATAGATGTGTGTGGTCAGAGTGAGGTGACAATGACACATGCAAAGTTTGGTGTCAAAATGTGAAGGCATTGCAGAGATAAAGCCTAAATAGTATTTTGGCAGCATGCCTAAACTTTGATGCTGTGGTATACGAAAACGGTTTTGTCTATCATCGTGCAATTCATAACTTTTAGTCGGCACGGTCTGGAGATGATACGATTCAATTTTCGTGAAAATCGGACAAACGGTCTAGGAGGAGTTCGAAAAAGAAGGTTTTTTCAAAGAAATAAAGATGGCGAACAGAAGTTTGTCTGATTATGGAAAACCTGATATCTATGTTTTCGGCATAACCCAAGGAATCTATTAAGATCAGTTTCATTGCAATAGGCAAATTTATTCAAAAGTTATTAGCGTTCTCAGAAATTAATTATAACTTTTGACCAACAGGTGGCGCTGTCTCAAAATCTTTTGAGTACCTTCAGGGCATGCTGCTTATGGCACACACTGAGTTTTGTAATATTACACCAATGCATTTGTTTAGTATAGCATTTTATTTCACAAAACTCTATTGAAGTCAATGGGAATTTCACGTTTTGTTCTATTATAGCGCCACCAAGAGGCTCAGTCCCACAATTTTTTTTATGTGTCCTCAGAGTGACCCCATACATATGTGTGTCAATTTTGGTGAAAATATCTCAATTCGCTTCCGAGTTATAAACATTTATATGAAAAAACACGTAAAAAATGACTGACACATGACTTTGTTTGAATTTTACTACCCTTACTATCAATATTTTCGCATTTGGCATTAGCGTTAGTTAACAAGCTATGATTCCGTGTTTCTGGCGGTGGTTTCGTCTCGATCGGAACAGCGGTTTTGAAGATATCGCCAAGTGTTTTTTTCGCGCTAAATCGCTACGCTACACCAACCGTAACACGAAACCCAGCATGTTTAGTATCGTTGGACTCGGCAACGATTCAGGAACTCAAAAAGATGACTCCCGTGAAAATAAGTGTACCACACCCAAAGTTATAAGCGTTTGGAAAAAAAAATTCACCACTAGGTGGCGCTGTTTCGAAACTTCTCAGGCTTCTTCAGGGCATCGTACTGATGACCCATACCGAGTTTCGTAACAATTCGTTCATGCGTTCAAAAAATACAGCATTTTAGCACATAATTCAAAATGGCCGACAGCCAAAATGGCCGATCTGGGAAAATTGGATATCGGTCGACTCGGCATGATGCCCTGAATCTAACGAGATGAAGTTTATGATTTTTGGACAAACCGTTCAGAAGTTACGAGCAAAAATAGCCATTTTTCATATCTCCGGACCACTAGGTGGCGCTGCGCCGAAACGCTGCATGTAGCCTCAGGTCATGCTTGTGATACATGTACCAAGTTTGGTCTGAATAGGATAAGCGTTGCGGAGATACAGCCTCACGTCTGTTTTCGCAAGCGCTACGTAAAATTGTTTGCGCGTTTATCGAAAACCGTTTATTCGAATCATCTTGAATTCCATAACTTTTTGTCAGCACTGCCTGGAGATGATCCGGTGCGATTTTGGTGAAAATCGGACAAACCGTCTAGGACGAGTTCGCAAAAGTAGGTTTTTTGGAAAATTCAAAATGGCGGCCGTTTTTTTATGACGGAAAATGACGTCATAGGGTGCGATCGAATCGGCATGAGCTCAGGAACAAGAGGAAAAAGAATTTTGTTGATAGGCCTTACGGTTCAAAAGTTATTAGCATAATAAAAGTGAAACTTTGGACAGTTGGTGGCGCTAGAGGGAATGAGTTAGAGACACCAAAATTGGTGTATTTAAAGTTGGGACTGTCCTCTATCAGAATGTCAAACCAAAACAACTTTCCCGCAAACCGGTCTATGGGCTGCCATAGACGCCCAGTCGGAAGAAGAATAATAATAATAATAATAATACAATACAATAGCAGCGGCAGGCAGCAATATACGGGGCCAAATAAGCGCAAAGCCATAGGCCAAGCATAGCGGCAACATGCCAAAATGGCAAGGAGTGGCAGACCAACT